CTTTTGGTCATTTCCGTCAATTCACCGTTAATTCCGTCAGTTACAGTAGTAATAGGTTACACGTTTAATTCCCGTTATTTTTAACGGAAAAATTGACGGAAATAACTAAAATGTTGATTTTTTTAAACATTAAGAACCAAATGTGTTTTTTTGTGAACACGGAGAATCAAATGTGAAATCGGTGCAAACTTGAGGGATGAAAATTGTATTTTTTCCTATATTTTTTTTTAATTGACGCACAGATTTTGGTCACTCTTTAAATTAATTTGCACAACTAAATAGCATGCATCAGGTTCAAGCGTAAAATCTATCGAAAAATATGAATATTCCTCTCAAAATTTCAAAAATTTCTTCAGTCCGACTTTATGATCCTCTCCAAATTCAAAAAAACTCGTGATATGAACGATTAATGATGGGGAAAATTACACTTTTCGACCCTCGAGTTTTCCTATATTTCACATTTAGTCCCTCGTGTTTCAATAATTTAACACTTTCCGTTCTTCTCGTTAATGTTTCGTTAGTACTAATGGAATCAAGCATGTGTCCGTCACTGGTAAATTGACGGAAATGATCATAAGTGTCAAATTGTAGAAACATGAGGGACCAAATGTGTTTTTTGTGAACATAGAAAGACCAAATGTAAAACTGGTACAAACTTGAGGAATGGAAACTATAATTTTCCCATTAATGATGTGCTATTATGATAAAATGTTATTGTTGAAAAGTTGCAGGAAATAAATTCGATAGAAAAATGACGGGGTGATCGTGTTATATTTTGGAGAAAAAAAAATAATTATTAAAGACAAGCGAATTAGTATACTAAAAAACGTTCGATTTTATCAAGTCTCTAGTCATAATTTCAATCGACTCAAATTGAATTTTAAATAAAAATATAAAGATCGTCTAGCAGTTGGACCAAGTTAGCATGTGTCAATTGATCTAAATATGATTTGCAAACTATTATACGAAATTGTAGATTTACCAAGTACACATATATGGTTGGCTATTGGTTGCTACGTTAAAAAAAAATAAAAAAATGGTGGTCATCATTAATTAATTAATAAATGTGCAGATTGGAGGAATTGGAGGGTTCAGATTAGCCGAGGGAGTGGACGGCTCTGGTGTATCGACGAAAATATTAAGCTGCAATTGTTCAATTGATTTAATAATAGAAAATAAGTCCAAGCTATTTGGTCTTCACATCAATCCTCCATTCATCCAATTGCTTTTTGGCCATCTCCCTTTTGCAGTGTCACAGGTCAGCAATTTGTTATATTGTGTTTGCCATTTTTATTTTTCCATTGTCAAATTCAAATTTCATTACACATAGGAAACAAAAATTCATTGTGTTTTACTATCCTTATTTAGTTTAATTACAAAACAAATCCCTATTTTCAAGAAATTACATTTAACCCTCATGAGATTCTTTAAAAAAATAAAATTTACCCCTCGGGAGGCAAATTGTAAAGTTTAAAATTTAAAGGGGGATTTAAAATAATTTTTTTAAGAGTTATTTAATATGGTCGTTTCGAACTCTTTAAATTTGTCATTTAAAATTTTATGGTTTTAAAAAAATTAAAAATAAAATATTGGGTTCGTAAAATCAAATATTAGTGGTAATTTAATTTGTTCTCCTTTTAATTTGAAGTAATTTAGCTTTTTCATAATTTCTGTTAGTATTTCTAGCACAGCATAGGTGCAAATATGGGAAGGATGACCATGACAA